GAACAAAGGGATGTTTACTATGTAAGTAAAACCCTTGCAGATGCAGAAACCAGATATCTACCCTTAGAGAAGTTAACACTAGCTTTAGTAATGGCCTCCAAAAAACTGAATCATTACTTTCAAGCCCACAAAGTTGTAGTGTTAACTGAACACCCCTTAAAGTCCCTGTTGCAGCAGGGAGATCTGACAGGAAGAATAGCCAGATGGACAGTGGCCTTAGGCCAATATGACTTGGAATTCAGACCCAGAACAGCAATCAAAGGCCAAGTTTTGGCCGATTTCGTTGCCGAGTTCACATTAGGTTCCATCACACATCGGGCTCCATTGAGCCAAGGTGTGCGATGTCCAGGTGAGCAAGAAAAAACCCAGCGGGGGACAACAAAACAAAGGACGAAAGCTGCAGCATTTACATCGGCGACTCATTCCGGCTGTTCGTTAATAGGAGTTCAAACTGACAAAGAGCGGGGGCAGGAGTAGTGCTAGTATCTCCAGATGGGCAGATACTGGAACAATCCATTTGTTTGGGGTTTAAAGCCTCAAACAATGAGGCAGAGTATGAAGCACTAATCGCAGGGTTAAAGCGAACAGCATCCATGGAAGCTGACGAGGTAATAGTCTTTGGTGACTCCCAACTTATAGTCAATCAAGCAACAGTGGAATTTGTAACCCGAGATAAAAGGATGTCGGCTTACGCAAAGGAAGTAGCCAGACTGGTAGCCTTATTTCAAAATTGCCGACTACAGCAAGTAAGCCGAGATGACAACAACCATGCCGATGCTCTGGCCAACTTGGCTAGTGCAATGAAGCCTAGAGAGGCAAGAACAATAATGGTTGACTACTTATCAGGTCCAAGCATAAAACCACTGAGCACAAAGCGTGAAACAATGTTTGTGGAGATGGGACCAAGTTGGATGGATACAATAGTAGCATTCCTTAAAGAAGGAAAATTGCCAGACGACCGTAAAGAATCGCACAAGATCAGGCTGAAGTCGGCAAGATTCAGTTTGACAGCAGAAGGCCATCTCTACAGAAGATCCTTTACTGGACCCCCTTCTGAGGTGTGTGCATCCTGCACAGGTTGAAGACTTTCTGTACGAAATACATGAAGGAGTATGTGGAAGCCACACTGGGGGCAGGTCACTTGCTCATTGGGCCATTGCTCAGGGGCATTGGTGGCCTTACATGCAGAAAGATGCTGAAATTTATGTCAAGAAGTGTGAGAAGTGCCAAAGGTTTGCACCCTTGATACACCAACCAGCAGCAGACTTGAACCCAGTGTCCAGCCCTTGGCCATTTGCCTAATGGGGCATGGATCTTGTTGGAAAACTTCCCCAAGCAACTGGACAAAGGAAGTACTTGCTGGTAACAACAGATTACTTCACCAAATGGGTAGAAGTCGAACCCCTTGCCAAGATTCAAGACGTTGATGTGAAGAACTTCATATGGAAGAACATCATCACCAGGTTTGGAATCCCAAGAGCAATAATAGCTGACAATGGCACACAGTTTGACAGTAAGCTAATCAAGAGCTTTTGTGCAAAGTTCAAAATCAAGAATTATTTTTCCACCCCAAGTTTTCCTCAAAGCAATGGACAAGCGGAAGCATCCAACAAAGTTATCTTGGATGGGATTAAGAAAAGGCTGCAAGCAGCAAAGGGAAAGTGGGTGGATGAATTGCCCAGTGTACTCTGGGCATATCGGACTATGTCGAGAAGATCAACTGGGGAATCCCTATTTGCCATGGCTTACAGCACAGAAGCAGTCATTTCTCTGGAGGTCGGCATCCTAGGGATCAAAACCCAGGGAGTGGAGAACAGAACTAATGATATATTTATAGCCCAAGATTTGGATCTGCTAGAAGAGAGAAGAGAGAAAGCAGCAATTCAGTTGGGGGCATACCAGCAGCAGCTTGCCAGGGCTTATAATAAAAAGGTGAACCCACGAGAGTTCCAAGTTGGTGGCCTCGTCCTAAGAAAGGTCCTCGGTAATAAGAAGGATCCCAGAGAGGGCAAGCTTGGACCGAATTGGGAGGGACCCTATAGAATCATCTCGGTCTTGGGCAATGGGGAATATCAGCTTGTGGATTGTGAAGGCAAAGAATTGCCAAGACCCTGGAATACTTGCAATCTGAAGTTTTTTTATCATTAGATTTTCTTGTTCTCTAAGTTTTCTTTTTGTCTTGTTATTAGCAGAAGTAATAAAGTTTTAGCTTGATCTTTAAACTTGCGTAATGTGATTGACCAGATACTTGACGATGTTTCTAAGAGAAACATGACGAATAACTTAGACTTATTAAATGGCAAAGTAGAACTTTTACTTACATATAATAGAGTTGAACTAAGTTGGCGATGTTTCTAAGCGAAACATGACGAATAACTTAGACTTATTATATGGCAGAGTACAATTTTTACTTGCATATAATAGAGTTGAACTAAGTTGGCGTTGTTTCTAAGCGAAACATGACGAATAACTTAGACTTATTATATGGTAGAGTAGAACTTTTACTTGCATATAATAGAGTTGAACTAAGTTGGGATAACCTGGGCTTGTCATATTGGCAGTATCAAACTCAGATTGAAATCTGACCTCTGCCAGTACGTATCAGTCAGATTAACAAAGAGGCCGAGGTTAGTTACCTTGACCGGTCTTTATTTGAATCTGACCTCTGCCAGTACGTATCAGTCAGATTAACAAAGAGGCCGAGGTTGGTTACCTCGGTCAGTCTTTATTTGAATCTGACCTCTACAAAAAGGTCAAAACCCCAGTCTTAAATGAGAACCCAAGTGGAACTTAGGTTCATATTAGGGGGCAAAGGGCTGGAAATTGATGCTTGGAGGATTGGTTTAACACTTGTTGAAATTTGAGAAAAATTTACAAGTTGAAGTTAAACCGAGATCATGTTAAACACTTGTTGAAATTTTTTAGAAAAATTTACAAGTTTAAGTTAAATCGAGGTCATGGTTAAACACTTGTTGAAATTTTTTAGAAAAATTTACAAGTTTAAGTTAAATCGAGGTCATGGTTAAACACTTGTTGAAATTTTTTAGAAAAATTTACAAGTTTAAGTTAAATCGAGGTCATGGTTAAACACTTGTTGAAATTTTTTAGAAAAATTTACAAGTTTAAGTTAAATCGAGGTCATGGTTAAACACTTGTTGAAATTTTTTAGAAAAATTTACAAGTTTAAGTTAAATCGAGGTCATGGTTAAACACTTGTTGAAATTTTTTAGAAAAATTTACAAGTTTAAGTTAAATCGAGGTCATGGTTAAACACTTGTTGAAATTTTTTAGAAAAATTTACAAGTTTAAGTTAAATCGAGGTCATGGTTAAACACTTGTTGAAATTTTTTAGAAAAATTTACAAGTTTAAGTTAAATCGAGGTCATGGTTAAACACTTGTTGAAATTTTTTAGAAAAATTTACAAGTTTAAGTTAAATCGAGGTCATGGTTAAACACTTGTTGAAATTTTTTAGAAAAATTTACAAGTTTAAGTTAAATCGAGGTCATGGTTAAACACTTGTTGAAATTTTTTAGAAAAATTTACAAGTTTAAGTTAAATCGAGGTCATGGTTAAACACTTGTTGAAATTTTTTAGAAAAATTTACAAGTTTAAGTTAAATCGAGGTCATGGTTAAACACTTGTTGAAATTTTTTAGAAAAATTTACAAGTTTAAGTTAAATCGAGGTCATGGTTAAACACTTGTTGAAATTTTTTAGAAAAATTTACAAGTTTAAGTTAAATCGAGGTCATGGTTAAACACTTGTTGAAATTTTTTAGAAAAATTTACAAGTTTAAGTTAAATCGAGGTCATGGTTAAACACTTGTTGAAATTTTTTAGAAAAATTTACAAGTTTAAGTTAAATCGAGGTCATGTTTAAAAACTTGTTGAAATTTTTTAGAAAAATTTACAAGTTAGGCCAAGGTTATAATGAAAGAAGTACTTACGTACTTGCCGAGATAAAAACGTTTATTTTCTTTGACCGAGGTATATCACCCCGAGAAGATTGCACAATTAAGGTGTATGTTGAAGACATCCAAATTATTCTAAGTATAGAGTCATATAAAGAAGACAAACATACACGCATTCAAAAAAGGAAATTGTATTTACATTCAAAAGAAGGCACATCGGCCAAATAAAGAGCTTACATTGTTTCAAAAAATAAAAAGTGCCAAGTACAGAAGAAAAACATCAAAGACTAGACTATTTGGCATCAGCATTGGTTTGGGGCTCAAAGGACATTTGAGAACTTTTCTCGGTGGCCTTCTCAGCCCCGAGCTCGGCGTCGATCTCTTTAAGAGTCTGGTCGAGGCTCTTGTCGGCAATAAGCGCGTCCGAAGTTGTATAACTTAGCAAAAACAAAACGGAACCTCCAATCAGAACTATGGCAGCACTTTGGCCCAATTTGCACAACTGATCGTTGTATGCCCCTTACTCAAAAAAATTGAACCCCACAAACTGACATGCCTAAACCATTGTTCAACATTTGAGAACCCCAGATCCCATATATGGCACACAGCAGGAAAAAGAACAAACACCCCTATAGGGGCTAGGGTTACCCTGTCCTAGCTTTGAAATGATCTAGGGTTGGTCTTGTTAGAATTGAATCCATTTTTTCTTGCATTTACTTCTCAGCTGTTAGGGGGATAATATTTGTCGCATTGCCTGAAAATATTTGTCACAGCTATAAGTTGTATGTAATCTGGCATATGATAGCAGTGATTTTTTGAAATAGAGTAAAGAGCTAAAAATAAAGCACACTTTGATGGCGAGTCAAGTCCTCAATCTGATCTTTTGCTTCTTCGTGTCCATATTCAAAATTTGTGTAGAATCTATCTCAAATAGTGTGCGTATATCAATATACATATCTTACAGAACATTGTTGTGCGACTTGAACCCTAGCATACAAAGACATATTTATAGAATAATAATTCCATTTTACTTAGCAAAAATGATAAATACAGGAACAGTATCGTACACCAACAGTCGTACCCCTATATAAAGCTCAGAGCTACCAAACGCAAGTGTTCTCTGCTCGCTCTCGCTCTGGCTCTCTCTAAATTTCACCAGCAAAGATAGAGTCGGATCGAAAGAGGAAGAAGTCTTGTTCGATCTCGACAGCAGATCGAAAGGACAAGAACAAGAAGAAGAACAAAATGTCGTCGTCATCATCGTCCTCGGATAAAGTTAGGGCTTCGCACATACTGATCAAGCACCAAGGCTCCCGACGCAAAGCTTCCTGGAAGGATCCAGAAGGTCGGATCATCACCAACACCACCAGAGACGCCGCCGTCTCTCAGCTCAAATCCCTCCGCGACGACATCGTCTCCGGCAAATCCAAGTTCGATGACGTCGCCTCTCGTTTCTCCGACTGCAGCTCCGCCAAACGCGGCGGCGATCTCGGTCAGTTCTTCTCTTGTCATTCAATTTTGCTTTTCGTATCTTTGTTTGATACTGCGTTGCTATTTGGTTTGTATGTCTTTTTTTGCTCGAATTCAATTTACTTTACCTTCTGTTTGATTGCTCAGGTTTCATTTTCGTTTTTTTTATTTATTTTTGGGTGGGTGAAAAGAATAAAAACTAGTTTGACAAAAATACAATAAATTTTTTTTACAAATTTTTAAAATTGTTTCCGTCCTCCAAAAAGATAAAATCATATGAATGATAGTGATTTTTTCGTTTTTTTTCACCAAATTAGGTTTTAGTTTTAGTTTTTGTTTTTTAAATAAAAATTAAAAATTAGAAAACAGATTCTGAAAACCAAACCAAACGGAGGAGCCATTGAGTTTGTGGATCCTGCTAATTTGGCATCAAAGAGGAAAATTTGGGGAAAAAAAAAAAAGAAGAAGAAGTAATAGTCTGTTGATCGTCTCAATCCCAATGGTTTGGCCTGGTGGATGAAGCCAGAAACTTGGGGGTTTGCTCCCTCTAAGGTCTCAGGTTTGACTCCCCTCGCCAGCAAACTCTTGGGGCCACGAACTGGAGGAAATAAATCTGTTTTAGAAGGTTTGTTCGTGCTGCTGTGACTTAGTCTAGTGCATGCAAGTGGGCCAGGATACCCTACATATCAAAGAAAAAAAAAAAATGGTCTGTTGATCGTCTCAATTAACTTTGCCATATGCTCAGTTAAGTGGAGATTTTCTTTTTCCGAATCCCAGAAAACGATTTTTCTATGAATTGAAAAAGTAGATTATATATGTTCTTGTATTTTATTGAGTTCCATGGAATGATAATATGGTTTTCCATGTCTTACAGTGGTGATGCATTAGAATACTGTCATGGAAGTGCCATCTTGTTGGTTTTTTAATCCGTTCAAGGATAAATTGTAATTATAA